TTTCTTTGTCCTTGAATGTGATTATTTCCTGCTATATTTAAGCCCTGGGCCCAGCTACAAAATGTTGTTTCCAGGATGCTGAATTTTCATGCGAGATAGTGTGATCTTCAGATTTGAGTTGTAGCTTAGACTAAACCTTCTACATGAATAAAGATTTATGCTGTGCGTCAGCCAAGATCATTCTCCGAAGGGCGCTGATACAGTCCACTTAGTTTTTCTTAAGATAAACGAGTCTTTGGAATGGAGCGCGATACATCTAATACTGCTATGTAAAAGTTTCTGATATTTTGAATACATTTGTTAGGTTTGCGTTGATATTTCTGCTTATTATTGATACGTATTTCTTTCGAGTTTCTTTCTTTGATTCCTTTCTAGAATATATGTAACAACATAGGCCGGGTAACCACACCAAGGTACCAGGATTTAAAACAGCAATGAAATGTGAAAAAAAAGAAAGAAAAATCATGCATTTTATTAAAATTGCATTTTAAAAAGGGCGCAACAAGTTTGAGAATATTTTTAACAATAATTCCATCTGGCTGTGTTTTATATTCTCTATGACCCACGCCCTAAGGGTAGCTGAAAATTACACGACCCACCCCTTGCAAAAGGCTCAAAACCTCATGACCCAACCCCTCTCTGCTCTAGCTCACCTCCCATACTTTTTGACCAGTCTCTTAAGGTATGCGTATAACCACGTTTTTATTTTTTTAGAGAAAACGTCACGTCTCTCTCAAATTCGTTCTTTAACACGTCTAAAACTGAGGATAATTTCGAGCATGCGCTCTTTCATCGCCTGTCACATTCCTGATAGGCTATCACGTGTACAAATAGGATTTGACCAGATCTCGCCTTCGTCTTCGTCAACAAGAGATCTGGGTACGAGATTAGCATCAACCCTCACTAGTATGAAACTGCAAACAAACCCATCGGACTCCCAGTCCAACAACGCTAGCGGCACACATTTAAATTCATTGGCTTTGATATCGTTTTTTGTCTGATCATGTTCCGTTGCTTTCAGTATTGCGCTATTTCTTGAACTAATGTTGAAAAATTAGATACAGGATATAGAGAGGAAAAGTGTGACGTCACAAAAATTCAAATTTGTGAAATTATGGAATTGGTTGGCATATTCAGAAAGAAGAAGATGAAAAATGCGCCCTTGCAGAAAAAAAGCCGGTAAGTGCAAATTTGTGGGGAGATATAAGCACCGTTTAGAAAGTTCATAGTATAAATAAAAATTGATATGATATACTTACTCGATGCTCATATCAGGAGGATCACCAGGAACAAGGATAATATCTTGATCCTTAAAAGACTGTCGACCACTTTTTGCCATGATAAATCTGATAGTATATGTTGAGTTAGGAATCGCCATGCTTGTATTTAACTCTATTTTTGTTTCGTTAAAATCCGTAAGTTGACCTGGAGCATATCCGAAACAGCTTCCATTACTCAAGGGATTTTTTGTCTCATTGGGGGAAATACTTTTCGGCAACTTGCCACCACTAAAGTTACAAAACCAAGCAAACTCGAAATTTTTGCTTCCTGGTTCATCTGGGTCCACTGACTTAGAAGCATCAATTTGCACTATAACGTCACTGCCTACAGTCCTCTTCGAGCCGCCCAAAATACTTGCCACGAGAGGAGTTGGGATAATTTTAATAGAAAATTTCCTCTCATTGTAAAATCCTTCTGCCCAAGTCATGTTGATTGAAAACTGAAATTCAATCTTTGCGCAAATATTAAAATACCCCGCGCGAAACTCCCGTTTGGCTAATGGTGTGGTAAGTTCCTCTGGCATCGGATCTTCTTCATCACTGCCGCATCTCTTTGTAATCTTCCACCTGAATTCGGTAGTATCATTGAAGCAGTTAATCTCGTTGTCAGTCTCAATAGTTATCTTCTCTGAAAGTGTGAACGTCTTTGTTTCACCAGATTCGAATCCAGGAACGCTAATTTTGGGTATTTCGCAGGGTCCTCTCCCTACTAGCACTGTTCTTGTTTTTAACTTTGTGCAGGATACTGAATTGTTGGCTCTAAAATCAACAGTATAACCTCTGGCGGTTCCATACATGACATCGAAATATTGAGTGCAATTTAACCGATTATTGCCGGTGCAATATAAATCATCCAGTTTTACCCATTCATTCTTTTTATACTGTTTTGGATATTTAGCGTCATCCACATCGAGCTCGAGTAGAAAACGGGGATCATGCCCCTTCTGACCCACTGTGAGAGTAAAGTTTACTGCCTTTCCTTGTACTGTAGGCCCGTCGTCTGTTAGGTTAACACCACGTATGCTCTCCATCAGCGTGATTGTAACATCACGTGTCATATTGCTGACTTTATTCTGTGCCTTTAGGCGAATGGTGTGTTTACAATCGGTGCAATCTTTACGAGGACTGAACTTATGTAAGAAGGTCTCAGTCGTGTAATTTTTGCCTCCATCGTTGTCCAAATCCCAGGTAAAAGTTACGTTGGTACCGTTTGTGATAAATGCTTTAAAAGATACGTCATATTCCACAGGATACGTACCGTTGCGAAGAGTAAAATCTAGGCATGATTGATTCTCATATTCCGTATGTTTAGTGATAATTTCAAGTCCTTGGATTGCATCTTGTATTATAACCTCCACAGAACCAATTCCGGAACTTATCTCGTTAGAGACATTAACAGTTACAATATAGATCCCACATTTATTCGGATAGTTGTAAACCGTCATTGAGTTATTTGTCAGCGAGTAATTGTTATCTCCGTATCGCCAGTAATAGTTGAGGGGTCCCGAAGGCTTAAACTCAGGACCAGGGAATAATACATTCAGTGTCACTGCCGCATCAGAAGAGTTCTTGGGCGAGTCTGAGGTCACCACGACGCCTTCAACTCGATACTGAACTATTAGCAGCCAAGTACAGCTGACATTTGAAGGATTTCTGTTGAAGAATGTCACCTTAATGTTGTATTTTCCTGCAATGGAGTAGGAATGATTGGTGCTCCATCCAG